AAAAAGGTTTTCTCAGTTAAGGGAAAGAGGGGGAGTTGATATATTAAAAGAGGGCACATAAAAAGGTTTTCTCAGTTAAGGGAGAGAGGGGCGAGTTGATGTATCAAAAGAGGGCATATAAAAAGGTTTTCTTAGTTAGGGGAGAGAGAGGGGAGTTGATGTATTAAAAGAGGCCACATAAAAAGGTTTTCTTAGTTAGGGGAGAGAGAGGGGAGTTGATGTATTAAAAGAGGCCACATAAAAAGGTTTTCTCAGTTAAGGGAGAGAGGGGGGAGTTGATGTATCAAAAGAGGGCATATAAAAAGGTTTTCTTAGTTAGGGGAGAGAGAGGGGGGCGACTTAATTTCAGAGAGAACCTACCCCGGAGTTACGGGCCTGGTATGGGATATTAAAGAGAGGTGTGTCGAATGTTCACGTTAACGTGGTTGTTTTTGTGGACGCATGGTGATACGTGATGTATTTTAAAAGATAACTTGCTGTCTTTAAATTGGTTTTTTTTTAAAAGAATGCAGCGAAAAAAAATACATATGTTTGTGAACCTGAAACTTCATAATTCAAGTACAGGTACAAGACACATTTCTTAAGACAGTTACTGCTTGCATCTTAAATCAGCAACTGTCTGTCGATGTTAATTGTGCATATTTCTTAAGTCAGCTATTGTCTGTCGATGTTAATTGTGCATATTTCTAAAGTCAACTATTGTCTATTGATGTTGATTGTGCATATTTCTAAAGACAGCCACTGCCTGTTGATGTTAATTCGGCACCATTTCTTAAGACAGCCACTGTCTGTTGGTGTTAATTCGGCACCATTTCTTAAGACAGCCACTGTCTGTTGGTGTTAATTCGGCACCATTTCTTAAAACAGCCACTGTCTGTTGGTGTTAATTCGGCACCATTTCTTAAGACAGCCACTGTCTGTTGGTGTTAATTCGGCACCATTTCTTAAGACAGCCACTGCCTGTTGGTGTTAATTGGCCACCATTTCTTAAGACAGCCACTGTCTGTTGGTGTTAAT